TCGACATTTCCCTACACGATCGAATGTCTGCCAGGCGATGTCAACGTCTGGGGCGACCTGTTGAGTCGCTGGGGATCAAGCCCATCTTCCCCACGAGTCGCGCACGTGCGGCGTCTCGTTCAAGTGGTGTCGCCTTTACAGTTGGCCGATTTCGAATGGCCGACGGCGACGTCTATTCTGGAGACCCAGAAGGCATCCATCGAAGGGGGAGAGCCCACCCCACCTGACGTGGCGTGGAACGACGATCTGTCGTTTTACACGGATGGCGACGACCGCGTTTGGGTACCGGACTCTGCTGTGGACCTACAGCAACGCCTGTGCGTGATAGCCCATCAAGGCGCTGCGGGTCACCGCCGCATTGCCGCGACGACGAAATCTGTCGAGGACAAGTTCGTGTGGAAGACGCTGTCTCAAGATGTCAGCACGTTTGTTCGCGGTTGTTTACACTGCCTACAAGTCGATGGGGACGTTGTGCCACGCCCCCTGGGATCGGCGCTGCACGCCGAAAAACCCAACGAACTTATCCACTTCGACTGGTTGTCGATGCCGAAGACGTCGACAGGACTCAAGAACGTCCTCATCATTAAGGACGACATGAGCGGGTTCGTTCATCTCCACGCCGCCGAGTCGGCCGACTCGACCTCGACGGCGTCGGCCTTAATGGGCTGGTTCACCCTGTACGGCTGCGTCGACACATGGGTTAGCGACGGTGGCGCTCACTTCAAGAACGAAGTGGTCGAGAAGATTCGAAAGATGGTCGGTGCGCATCACCACATCACGACAGCGTATAGCCCGTGGGCCAATGGCACGGTCGAAGTTGTCAATCGACTAGTGCTACGAGCTGTCAAGGCCCTGCTCAACGAGATGCGACTCAAGATCGAAGAATGGCATCTGGTCCTGCCATTAGTTCAAGGCGCGCTGAATCATCAGCCAGCGAATCGGCTGGGCGGAGTTGCGCCTGTGACTGCTTTCACTGGCCTGCCAGCCAAGACGCCAATGTCCGGGTTCGTACACCCAACAACCAAGGAAGTTCACGCTATTGATTTCCTTGACGACGTCCGTCGAGATCATGTTGAAGCGGTCGCAGCAGCGTTGCACGATCTGCACCGTGACGTATCGACACGAAGCGAGAAGCTGCGCCATCAGGCGCGTGGGCGTCATGACAAGAAGAACAAGGTCAAGTTCACGAATTTTGCCGTCGGCGATTACGTACTAGTCGGATCAGTCGTTCAGCGTTCGAACAAGTTGGCCCTGCAGTGGCGCGGGCCATATCAAGTCGTTCGTGTGGTGACCGACCACGTCATGGAGACGCAGCAGCTGGTACCGCCGTTCGGAGTCTCCACACACCACTCGTGCCGGCTCAAGATGTATCAAGATTCAAGTCTCGCGGTCACGGAAGACCTAATCAACCAAATCGCGCATGGCGATGGAGGATTCCACGTCGAACGCCTCGAAAAAGTTCGACTTGCCGATGGTGAATACCAAGTCCAGGTCAAGTGGATGGGCCTTGGTGACGAAGAAATGTCGTGGGAGCTCGCGAGGAACCTCCTCGACGACATCCCGGTCGTGTTCACGAAGTGGTGCAAGGCCCACAAGTCAACCAAGCACGTGGCCCCGATGATGAAGGACCTGGGCCTCCTCTAGGAGGGGAAGTGTTCTGCTGAGCAGAGCAGCATGGGTCGCCCAAGGGTTTGTCCCGCTGCAAGTCCTACAGTATAGCAGGTCTGCTGTGGTGTGCCTGTACGTAGGGATCCTAGTTGAGAAAGAAATGTACCTTAGCGGATGCTAGTCAGTAGGGGCCACGTGTGTCGTGGCCTAAGTCTAATGTCAGTTTTGAAGTTGCAAGCCTCACGTGAGGTCCCTGCGTCGGAAGCGCGGGGCGGCGAACACCATTTTCGTGTTAAAATGCCGTCTTTAGTTGTGATCGGGTGATTTGCTCATGTATAACTGCGCCGTACGAGCAAGACCGCATTGACGGGCGTGCGCGCTCCCCACTGTGCCTGGGCAAGGGCGTTGGAGCTTGTGGCGGTTGTATCGCTCACTCCGCATACGTCGGCAGCAGCCTGCTGCGCGTCACAGCTAGATTCCGAAGAAGGTCGTACTGTCTCGGAGCTACCGTAGTTGATTTGTAAGGGCCAAACTCATGAGACATGGCTCCTGGTTGAAGTTGAGAAAAACCTCCACAATTCATTGAAATAACACAAGAACAGATTATCGGATTTTAGGGTTTATATATATTTAAGCATAATTGCTGGGTATATATATTAAAACATCAAACTTCAAGTCATGCAGTTTAACAGTGAACTACTTTCAAGAATGTTTATACGTTTAGGAAATAGATGGTGGAATAGATGAAGCAAAGACATACTAGTACTAGTAACAAAATTCATCATAGAATTGTCATTCACTTTCCGATTTGACCGGCGTGGGCATCATCCGGATAAAATCCGGATATTGGTTGCTGTCTGTCGTCGTGAGCAAAATTGTGAACCTAGGTATCATGTACTGCTTTTCGAGCTACTTGCTTTACACTTGGGCGTCCTGTCGCCTTGCGATGTCCGCTTCGCGCCATGGCACGAAATCCCGCGCAATGAGTGTCAACAGTGTCTCCTAAACTTGATAATTTTTATTTGTGAGGTTCTATTGTCTGCTTCAGGTTCTTCCATAATTGCATGAATCAATATATTATTTGATGGAGTTTGAGAGAGTTCGGCCCTTACAAATCAACTACACCGTACGGTTGTCGGAAGCAGTTCTCAATCGTATCGATGTACACTCTGACCCAATGATGGTACCTCATGCATTCCGTGGATGACAAAGCAAACATTCTGGATGCCCGTCAAGCTCGAAGGTGGCGGCGCGATGTTGTTTCAGCCATATTCCGATTGTTGGCTATGGCCCACCACCAGCCCCCTGCCCAGCACCCCCACCACGTCCCGATGTATCGGCCATCGACCGAGAAGACGCCTGTCGTACAAGTTGTGCCTGGGTACACGCCGCTGCCGTTGTACAGCGGGTTCCAGCAGCCGACGGAACCACTGGCTCAAGCCATGGCTCCAACGACCAACGAGAAGAAGACCAACAAGTTCTGGTATACCTTGACGAGTCCACTGCGTCCGATGACGTACCAACTGATCGTGTTCCACTTGGTCAACTTTTTGTTTGCAGTCATAGCGTTCGTGATCGTGGTGGCCGTGGGAAGTGTCGGCATTGCCACGATTCCCATCTTTTGTCTCGGCCTCGTCGTGCTGCAAGTGCTTTTGTACGTCGTGCACTTCTTTGCCAACGTCGACGCCCACTTGTACAATTGCATCGCGCCGAAGGATGAGCAGATTATCGTGCAATTCCACGTCCCCACCCGAGGACTGTATCAGGTCAGCGGCTACCGCATCTCGCCCGACTTGTCCCGGATCTCAACGGAAAGCTTCGCGGCGGTCTTTTACTTTGTCTTTGTCAAGTTTCCGCTGGCTGTCGCGTTCAGCTCGTCCGTGTTGGCTTTACTTGTGGCGTCCATTACGCTGATAATGTACCCGTACGTCGTCGAGACAAGATTCCACAGCCAACTGGACCACTTCCGTACGAACGGCGACACCATCCACATCGGCCATCTCAACATTGATGACCTCGAACCTGGACAAGTTGTGGGGATTGGAATCGTCTTGCTCTACTTGACGATCGGGTTCCTCCACTTGTTTGGCAAGGTACATAGAGCTACCACCAAGTTCTTCACGTGCGAATTCTTCGCTACGTCTGGCTACGTTGTCCAAGGGTCGATCCAGCCCCACTTCCTGTCGTCTCTCCAATACGCCGTGCCCCCGCTTGGCCCTCAGCCAACGGTAATGAACACCCCGATCCCGGCTGCCTTTGCAGACAACAGAGTGACTGCCCCCTCTCTTCACCGTAACGCTTTTGAGCGTTTTGCGTCCAAATTCGGGTCGGCAATTCTTCTCGCTGTCTTCGCATGGCTCAGTCTTATTTTTTCCATCGGCATGTTTGCCGTCGTCATCTCGAGTCTATTTCTAACGATCGGATCGCTTCCTGCTGCCTGCGTCGGGCTCTTGGTCCTCCAAGTCCTCGTTTGGCTCGTACAACCGCTGTCCAAAGTCGACGCGTGGCTGTTCGAACAGCGCCAACGAATCTATACCGAATTGCTTCGCGACCACTAAATCCCCAATGTGATCTATACCTAAACCATTAGCTCAAAATACCGTTTTGGCGACTGGTGATCCGTTGCAGTTGTCGCAACCTCTGTTGGTTCGCACAAGAGCGAAAGAAGCCAGCGGCGAACCGTAATTTAGCGCGCGACTTCGTCAACGAGGTAGTAGTATGGTGTGCTACTAGGTATTACACACCCATGACTGCGAGGACATGTGGCGCACAGTGATGTCACATCATCCAGGTCAGTCGTTGACATTCTGGCATGACTTGGGTCCATACGAAGTCCGAGTGTTTATACCGAGCGAAGCGGTAAAGACTTCCTCGAACTCTATGACTCCGGTGTCGTTGTCCTTTGCCGGTGTTCGTAACCAGTCGCCGCGTTCGGAGCAGAGGTATCCAGTTGTCATATCGTGAAGTGACACTATTCTCGAATGAAACGTTCTCCCTTGAGTCAGCCCCCCTTTGTAGTATACCGGCTGCCCGTCATGGCAACCTGACGGATACCACGCAGCTCGTCAACATAACATCCTTCATCGCCAATTGCGATGCGTGTCTTGAGATCTTCGTCCACATCGCGCGCACCTTCGCAGTACATTTTGAGGTGGCGTGTATGGTGCAACGAGGTGCCAAACGGGGGAACCAACTGCTGCACCTCTATCAGGTAATAGTCGGAAAGAAGCTTAACGACACGGAACGCTTCAGCCCATCGCAGAGACAGTTTTCTGGGGTACTGGACAGCACTAGCAGCCGAAACAAAATCACCCAACGCAATTTTCGCAAGCTGCACGGGACGTAGGCTACGACGCCGACCACGACCCTTAGCACGCTTTTTGGCAGCAGATGCCACAATACTCTAGTGCATCCTATCCAATGTCTTGGCAAGGTTGTGGACATGACTGCGACAACCCTTTTCAACCTAATCGATGGTTTGTACGCGTGGCACGCCATAATGATCTAAACCATATAATGGGGACTTCGCCGGTAAACTAGTGAACGCTGTGGTCGGGACCACACCACCAAGTCCATCCGAGGATTGTAACTTCAAGGCAGACTGTACCATCGTTAGTACTTCCTCTGATCCAAATTACTTGCCCGATAAGAAAATTTGCTGTATGCCTCCCAAAATAAAAATTGACCACCTCCACGAATTTATTATTTCGGGCACATATTATTGAGTTAATCCTACTCGTGAGTCCAATTCCTGCGAACTGTCCGTCTGGTAAGTCCACTTCGGCTTCGATCGAAGTTATCTCGAAGTACGATGCACCAATTGACGATTTTACGATGCAGCAACAAGACCACCATGGCAACGAC